ACGCAAGTTGCGCACAAGTTCTCTGCGCATTCATACATTGCGTACAAACTTACTGCGCATAAGTACGTTGCGTACAAGTTATCTGCGCATTCATACATTGCGTACAAACTTACTGCGCATAAGTACGTTGCGTACAAGTTATCTGCGCATAGGTACGCTGCGCGCATGTTCATTGCGCATCCGTACATTGCGCACAAGTTATCTGCGCATAGGTACGCTGCGCACATGTTCATTGCGCATCCGTACGTAGCGCACAAGTTATCTGCGCATAGGTACGCTGCGCACATGTTCATTGCGCATCCGTACGTAGCGCACAAGTTATCTGCGCATAGGTACGCTGCGCACATGTTCATTTCGCATGCGTACGTTGCGTACAAGATCTCTGCGTATCTGTGTCTTGCGCACAAGTTCTTTGCGCATTCGTACGTTGCGCATTCTACGCTACATAACAATTAGTGCGCATGTCAATCGATTTTTCGGCGTCAGTTGTAGAAAATAATTGTTTTTTTTCACGTACTGATTATATACAGAGGGCAAAGAAATATATTTCTCTCGTTAGGAACACGCGATTTTCTCACATCGTTAACTATTTCTCATAAAGGAAATGTACTTAACACTCGAATGCATATATTTAACAAAATGTGTTATATATATATATATATATATATATATATAAAAACGTGCAAGGAAATTTGCAAGAAAACGTTCCGAATGCTTTCTTGCAATGTGACGTTAATAATTTACGATGTGATATATAACATGTTACAGATGGAAGTTATATTCTCCTTCTTTTGTCTTATTATAAACCTCACGGTATGAGTTCATAAAACAGAAATAATAATATGAAAATGAGACTCGGCACAAAATATATTTTATTTTATATTTTATGCGACAAAAGGGGAAAAAAGAAAAAAAGAGAATAATTAACCCATAACTAGTACCATGGGTCCAGTAGACCCGAGCATTTTTTCTCGCTCAAATTAATTGAATTTGAATATTTTTTATATTTTAATATATTAGTTTGACGTATTAGTAATTTTCTAAGTTTTTTGATACGCAACTAATTCGATATACAAAAAAATAAATTAGCTTCCAACATTAATAAATTATAAATTTTTAATTTTAACCTAAAGTCACATTTTATTCTGCAAAATAAATACCTTTTTTGGCAAGTATTGATATTGTGGTAATTTTTTACTTAAAGAATAATATAACATAACCTTAAATTTTTTAAGTGATAATATTAAAATTTAAATAACTCGTGAATTTTTAAGTAAAAACACGCAATTTTTTGATTTTTATTTTTTACAATTTTTTTCAACTCACTTAAAATAAATTAATCCCTGTAAAACTAATGAAAAATTTTTTAAAAAAACACATCATAAGCTATCTGAGATTAAATTTTAGTGCAAAAATTTTCAATACCGGCTGTACAATACACACGTTTGAATATGTCAGGTCCAGCAGACCCGTTGTGTCATTTACGTACGAACAAGGAATTGTGCCAGTTAAGGGATTTAAAAAACACATTTCCTATATTGATGATTTTTAATCAGTAAATTACAAAAAAAAATTAAAGGGAACCTGATTGTAATGATTTTATTAACAAAAAATTTACAAAAAAATGTGGCCCTCTTAAAAAATTTTAGTTTTTGCTCTAAAAAGTTCAAATTTTACCTCCTGGTGTATCTTTACGAGTAGTTTATAAAAAAAAATTAAATAAAAATTGTCATTATTGATTTTAAATGTCATCAATAAAAAACTCATAATTTATTTTAAAAAATGGTAACCCTTCCCTTAAATTATAGTTTTTAACATAAAAATTTAAAATTTTGTACACTGGTCTACTTTTACGAATAGATTACAGGAAAAATATAACGAACCCATGTTTTTCATTAAGTTTATTAGCTCAGGTTTAAATATTCAAAATAGCTCAGAAATTCACCCAGGAAAAGGGAGAAAATGATAATTATCGGATATGTGTTCTTCTTAAAAAGAGGTTTAATGATTAATTTATTACTAAATTAATCCATATTTGTTTATTTTCATTTTACCTCCAATTGCATTGGATTTTATTAATTATAATAGCTCAGAAATTCACTCAAGAATAGGGGACTAACGATCATTTTTGGTAAAAAAAAATCAAAATTTACAAAAAAAAAGTGTCTTCTTTTGAATTCGATACAGTTTTTAATCTAAAAATTTGAAACATTGGTAAAACAGTGTATTTTTACGTGTAGATTAGTGGAATAATATAGAAAACATAATTCGAATTAATTTTATTAGCTTTATTAATGAAAAAGTCAAAATTTTGTGTAAAAAAGACCATTTACCCTTTAAATTTTAAAGTTTTTGATCTACAAATTTGTAATTTACAATACTGATGTATTTTCATGTACACATTATTAAAAAAATATATTGAGACGAATTCGAATTAATTTTAATAGTTTTATTAAGGAAAAAGTCAAAATTTTACATAAAAATTGACTCCTTTCTTTATAAATTTTACAGTTTTTAATTTAAAAAATCAAAACTTGCCAAACTGATGTATTTTTGTGTATATATTACAGAAAAAATATATCGAAACGAATTTGAATGAATTTTAATAGATTTATTAATAAAACTACTCAAAATTTACTTGAAAAAAACCCTTTCGCTTTAAATTCTACAGTTTTTGTTATAATAATTTAAAACTAAGTACAATAGTGTATATTTTTACATGCAGATTAGAGGAATAAGTATAGAAAAGCTAATTCAAATTAATTTTAACAGCTTTATTAATTTATAAAAAATCAAAATTTTGCGTAAAAAAATACCCTTTTCTCTTTAAATTTTAAAGTTTTTAATCTAAACAGTTAAAACTTGGTATATTGGAGTATTTTTATGAGTAGATTACAGGAAAATTATAACGAATCTGATTAGAATTAGTTTCAATAGCGTTATTAATTTAAAAAAAAATTTTAACCTAATCCGTTAAAATTTGGTATTCTTGTATATTTTTACGTATAGATTACAAAAAATGTAATAAAAATTTTTTTGAAAATGATTTTACGAAAGTTACTAGATAACCCTTAACTGGCACAATTCGAACGTAAATGGCACAACAGGTCTGCTGGACCCAACGTATTCAAACATGTATTGTTCAGCCGGTATTGAATATTTTTGCACAAAAATTAATTCTCAGGTTACTTATGATGTGTTTTTTAAAATTTCAATAGTTTTACAGGTATTAATATATTTTAAGTTAGTTGAAAAAAATTGTAAAAAATAAAAACCAAAAAATTGCGTGTTTTACTTAAAAATTCACGAGTTATTTAAATTTTAATATTATCACTTAAAAAATTTAAGGTTATGTTGTATTATTCTTTCACTAAAAAATTACCACAATATCAGGACTTGCAAAAAAGGAATTTATTTTGCGAAATAAAATGTGATTTTAGATTAAAACTAAAAATTTATAATTTATTAATGTTTGAAGCTGATTTATTCTTTTGTATATCAAATTAGTTGTATCAAAAAACTTAGAAACTTACTAATATGTCAAACTAATATATTAAAATTAGACCTGTGCAAAATAAATCGAACCGAACTGTTCGAATTTTTACGCCGAGTTCGAATGTCGAAAATTCGACATTCGAGTCAGCCCAGTTCGATTTTTTCGATTTTTTTAGCTAGAATATTTTCCTCGAAAATTAAAAAATCCCTTTCAAAGTCAAATAAAATTAATCAGCATCTTTCTAATATTTTTTTACCTTAAAACAACATGTATTACCTTCAAAAAACCTACCAATTGAACCTAAATTGCAGTAGAATAAGAATAATCAATTTTTTTCAATTTTTTCAGATAGAATGTTTTCCTGGAAAATGAAAAAATCTAGACCTGTGCAAAATAAATCGAACCGAACTGTTCTAATTTTTACGCCGAGTTCGAATGTCGAAAATTCGACATTCGAGTCAGTTTTCAGCGCCCCAAAAAACGTAGGAATATAAGGGGTTGTGTTTTTTGGGACCTGACTTTTTTTTTGTGTGCCTGTGTAATTTATAAATACAACCATTTTGAAATGTTTCCCTGTTCCCACATATATTTTCCCCAATTATTCATTATCTAGTATGAAACACTTGCTTTTAGCCACTAAATTCAAAACGACGCACTAATCACATTTAACGAATTTTTTCTTCATTCAATATGAAAATCTGAAAAAGAAAATTATTATTATTATTATTATTATTAGTTGTATCAAAAAACTTAGAAAATTACTAATATGTCAAACTAATATATATTAAAATATAAAAAATATTCAAATACATTCAATTAATTTGAGCGAAAAAAATGATTGGGTCTACTGGACCCATGGTGCCAGTTAAGGGTTAAAAATCAAGAACAAAATATGTTAAAAAAAACGTTTAAAGTTACCCCCCCCCCCCTCATTAACAAATTTAAGATAATTTATTGAAATACAACCACTTTGAAATGTTTCCCTGTTCCCTTATATATATTCCCCAATTATTCATTATCTAGTATGAAAAGACTTGCTTATAGTTACTAAATTAACCCCAGTGAAGGATTAAAAAGTCCAAATTAGAAAAAAAAAGATTCTTTATTTAACTTTAAGAAATCACGAGCCAAAAATTTAAATTCAGTATATACTGATATATTTACACTATAGGTATGTAAATTAGATTAAAGAAAAATCAAGACGTTAATGTTTCAACTAATTTCAATTAAGTTATTAATCTAAAAATCAAAATTAATAAGATGATGGATTATGAAGGGGGGGTTAAAATTAAACTCCGGCATTACATGGCAGTAAAGATTCAAGGCTTTCACCTTGAAGTGTCTCCAGGGTTAAAAAGGGTTCACCTGAGACATTTCGTGTATATATATTGTTACCATTATATATTGGTTTGAATAGATATCACGTCTATGGACATGCGCAACTAGAGAGTGGTCAGTGGTATTGAGTGGCCGACGTTTATAAATATACAGGGTTGCTCTCCATAATCGGTGGGCTCTTAGGACATTGTCCAGTCTACGAACTTTTATCAGAGCTCTCAGTAGTGTCGGGAATTTCAACCAAACAACTCGAGACTGTCAATAAACATATGTAAATTAAAAAAAAAAAAAAAAAAAAAAAAAAGTTATAAAAATTCCCCTACAAGTAGGTTTTAAAACAAAATTTCATTCTATTCTTTGGAAATGCACTCATTTTTTTTTATATAAATACACAAAAAGCACTGTGTTTGAAATAATTTTATTTTAAAAAAATTTGTTCAAAAAAAATCGCAAAATTTGTAAGAGAAAATAATAGAATAATTTACGAAAAGCAGAAAAATATATTTTACAGACAGACAAACAGTCACGTTTTTGTGTATTTTATGTTGACAAAAATAAAATTTTTTTCAATAGGTTTTCGTATTTCAACTAGAAATTATTATTGGCATTTAAAATAGTATTATTATTACTATTATTATTATTTTACTATTATTACAATTTTCTATTAGATTTTTTTTACCAATTACTTGAAACTAATAAATTTTTTAGTAATTTTTAAACTATCAAATTCAAAATTTTTTAAATAAAAGTAAGTTAATTAATTAATTATCGCGGGAAATTTAAAAAAAATTTAAATTCCTAAATAATAATAATAGTAATAATAATAATAATAAATAAGCATACATTTTTTTTTTATTTACATTTGTTTAAATATTTGTAATTTTTAAAAGAAAATTTTTATCTAATTTTTATTTTTTCTAAATTCATTAAATCCATGGTTAACCTGAGGTTTTTCTTAACTTGTGTCCTGCATGCGTGACACACGTGTTATCGTATAGAGGCAAACTTCAAGCAGGTATTGATCGATCAAAGAAATTACTTTTTACACCGGGTTGATGACTTGTTAACTATTTTACAGTATATATAAAGCTATTTTGACATTTAAATGTCTGTCTGTCGGTCAGTCCGAAAATTTCTTTACATTTAATATTAAAAAATAGGAAGAAACAAAAAAAATCACTTTTTTTTAAATAAATTAAAAATTGTTACAAATTTTTTATATCTACTTTATAATTTTTTAAACAATAATAGTTGTAAACTAAATTAATTAATATTTTTATTATTATTTTTTAGTATTATGATTATTATTATTATTATTTTTTTTTTATTACTATTATTATTTATTATTATTATTTATTATTATTATTAACCTCTGATTTCATCTCATAAATATCATAAATTTTGTTTTAAATTGATCCAAATTACAATTATCAATCAAAGTTTGTTAAATGTTACAATAGCTTCGCAGTAAAGAAAAGTTTATTCTGAATTTACGTCCAGGGTTCGATTCTTATCGATGGCGATTTTTTTTTTTTTATTAAATATAAATTAATGTTTTTTAACAAATTTTTTTATTTAAACAAATAATATATAAAGTGAGTCAGTTTTTCAAACACAAAAATAGCAGATCCAATATTAAAATATTTTTTTTTTTCATTCGTCTCAAAAATCTCTGAAATTGAAACTTAATAATCGAAAGTTTTTGACATTGCCAATTACGTTACCGGTGTAATTCTACCATATTGGATCCACCATTTTGAATTTTGAATCATATTTTTTCAAAATGTCTGTCTGTCTGTATAACCAAATTTGTATTTGTATCAACATTTTTGTGCAAAAAAAATCACTTTTTTGCAAATTTTTGCCTTCCATTAAATTTTAATGTAAAAGTAGTGGTTAGAAAAAAGAAAGTGTGCAAAATTCTCAGTAATTTGAAAAAAAAATTGAACCTTGCAGCTCAAAAATTGACTGAGATATGGTTTCCGCAGAAAACACGGTTTTTTTTGTGTTTAGCAAAAAAGTAGTCAACTTTGAGAGAGTATATCTTGGAAACTATTGGAGCTATGACAATGAATTTTTTTACAAAATGTCAGGAATTTAGTCAGCTTTAACTTTGCTATTGATCACTTTTTCAAAAAATAATTAGAGGCAGCGTAAAACTAAAAAAACTTAAAAGTACCGGTTTTTTTTAGCTGCAAACCCGGAAAAACCCGGGTTTTGTTCCTGAATTCATATTTCAGTCAATTTTTGAGCTACAGGGTTGAATTTTTTTTCAAATTACTCAGAATTTTACATACTTTCTTTTTTCTAACCACTTCTTTGACGCTAAAATGTAACAGGAGGCAGTAATTTGCAAAAAAAAACTGAATAAAAAAAGTTTTCGTCTTTCGTTTGGAGTTGCAGGTTTCAAACTTTGATACCTTTATTTCTAGACCAAAATTTAGGTAAAAAAAAAATTGCTATTCGAATTTACAGTGTTAAAAATATTTATTTTTAAATTTCTAAAATTTCTTTTTACATTTGACTGCAAGTGTCAAATAAACGAACATTATCTAAACAAACTTTTCAATTCAACAGATTAGATAATAGACAGGATTGGTCACCTGATTAATCGCGTACAAAGTCGAGACAGAAGACTTCTGAATGGACAATATATAAATTGAAAGACCTTGAGCCGATTGTGACAAGTCACGCTACACATTGTATATTAACTCACCCCCCCCTCCTCTTTCTTTATTCACCAATCACGATCGATCTGGTCCTATAGATAAATTTTCAAGGATAAAAAAAATTCTAGAGACATAAATACCTATTCGCAATATACATAATTACAAACCAAATCAAATTATGACACTCGATATAATAATTGAAACGAGATTTGATCAATAATTAATAAAAGAAGGAAAAAAAAATTTTTTTTCAACATAAACGTAATGCCAGCGAGAATTTCCATTTTACCATCATCTGCAATGGAAAATGGATTTCATGATAAATTAATGGAAACAAATAATTCATCACCAGCATTTAGAATATTACAAAAAGACAATCTTGAATCTTCCCTGCCAATACTCCAGCTGGATCTGGATGATGATGATGATGATTATCATCATAATAATAATGATGATGATGATAACGTGAATTTTGAGAGAGCTTCCGCAAGGACAATGACCTTGAGCCAAAATAACAAGAATAACTTCCAGACACGCAGACGAATCAGCAAGTCAAATGATCATTTAGTGTTGGCAAGTTTGCAAAGTCATCAAACAAATCCATTGAGAATACGACAACAGAGCAAGAGTCATGGTAATCTTCAAAATGATGACAATATTGAACCAAGAAAATCATCAATGATTCTTTCAACTGAGGATTTTAATGAGGTGCTCAATGCAAAATTAAGAAGAATACAGGAACAAGAGGAGGGTGAATTAAGCAAAAGAAGTTCAAGAAGAACTCAGGTCTCTTGATTTGATAATTTTTGGAAAAAATTTTTTCTCGAGTGAAATTCAAAAATTTTTTTGATTTATAATAAATAAATAATTGAAAACAAAGTAAAATCATTGTTTGGACGTTAAAATTGAATTAAAATTAGTTCAAAATTTCGGTTAAAATCGATTAGAATTACTGTTATTAATAAAATTTTGTTGAGTGTTACAAATAGCCTCGGGGTTAAGAAGAGTGGGTGCTGAATTTATGCCCAGGGTTCGATTCTTGTCAGGGGTGATTTTTTTTCAAAAAATAATTAAATACAGTTTCTAAAAATACAATCACAATATCGTAAAAAAAGTTTTGAAATCGTTAAAAATAAATGTTTTAAAGTTAATTATTAATTATTTATTCTTTTCGAAGAATATAAAAATAATTGAATTCCGGAAGAGTTATAATTAAAATTACTAAATTTTAGAAAGTTTTAAATTGAAAATTTTAAAAATAATTGAATTTCATGTAATTTTGAATTGAAATTTTTGGTAATTTTATTTGCTGACTTTTCTTAAATTTAAATTTTTATTTAAAATAATTTTTAATTAAACAGTAGTTTAAGATAATTGAATTTGTGAAGAATTTCATTAAAATTTTTAAAAATAACTAAAATTTAAAAGAGTTACAGTTGAAATTTTAAGAAATAATTGAATTTCAAAAGATTTTCTTAAAATTCAGGCAAAAATTAAATTTTACAGAATTGAAAATAATTTATTAAATAATTTTAAATAAAATTTTTTAAAAATAATTAAATTTTCCCAAGTTTTACTTGGCACATTTTTGAAAATATTTGAAATTCAAGTGATTTTTAATTAAAATTTTTTGGGATTTTTGTTGAAGAAAAATTTATTGTAAATTACATTGAAATTTTTGGTAATTTTATTTTGATTTTTTTTTAATTTTTAACAATTATTGAATTTTATAAATTTTTTAATTGAAAAATAGTTTTAAGATAATTTTTTTTTTTTGTAAAGAATTTCATTAAAATTATTGAAAATAATTAATTTTAATTTACATATAAATGTTAGTTAAAAATTTGTTAAATAATTGAAATAAAGATAGGAAGAAAATCTGAATTGTATACTAAAAAAATCGTATTTAAAAAAAAAATTTGTAAAAAATGTTAAAAAATGCAAAAAAAATAAAAAAAAGTCGCATTTTATTAAAATAAGTCGGAAAAAAGTCGAAAAGGGTCGGAAAAATCGAAAAAGCCGTATAATACCAAACCTGAGTAAGACGTAAAACAATATTTGAATTTAAAAATTAGGAAAAAAAATCACCCACGGAAAGAATTGAACTCTCGTCGTTTAGTCAACAAATCGAGAACATTATCACTGAGCCAAGAAGCAACTTCTTCAATATTATTTATTATATAAAAAAAATTGACCAATAACGCCTATTTTTGAATTTCACTTACAATTTAAAAATATATATTTTTTTAAATTTAATTTAAAAAAATTATAATTTAAATTTGTTCTTTAAAAAAAAAATAATAATAATAATAATTGTAAGCCTTATTTTTAAATTTGCAAATTTGTTTCTTTCTTTAAATGGAAAAAGTCCTCCGATCAGGTGATACATCCAAAACCATTTTTCACAACTGTTAAGACTGGAGAATTTTTAATGCCACCGCCAGAAGTTGCTGCCTTACTTGGAATTACGCCACATATTGTCTATGGAAATCCATTTCCCGAGATAAACGATGAGACTGATTTTTTTCATCGAACACGATTTCGACATCTTGCGTCGATTAATAAAAAACCGGAAGTACGACACAGTAGTCATAATGCACGATGTCAGGCAGCACTAAAGGCAACTGAGGATTTTTATTATCTTCCAATGAATGCATCATCGATAACAACAGCATCATCGATGGACGAACGTTCGAAACGAATGAGACAAAACAATTTTTTCAATTCGTAAGTTGTCGCATTTAAAAAAAAAAGAAAAATTAAAAATAAACAAATTTATCATTTGGAAAAGAGGAAATCATTTTTTTTTCGAATTTTTGAATTCAATTATAGGGACGAAAAAAATTATCGAAAAAAAAAATTGAAAATTTAAAGAAAAATCATCTTTTGGTACACAATATTTATTGTCAAAAAATTGCAAAATTTTGAATATAAAATCTGCACGAAATTAAACAAAAATTAACATAATTTTTCTAAACTTCACACTATTTTTTTCCCCATAAGAATATTACAAAAGGCGATTAGTTTTGTAAAGTAATTCATTTTTTTTAATCCTACAATTAAGTTATAAAAATTTAATTAAATTTTTTACAATATTTTGTTTTTACAATTTTGTTTACAATATTATTGTGAAAAAATTTATTTTTGAAACTTAATTAAATTTTCATAAACTTATATTAAAAAATCGTAATAATTAATTAAAAAAGAAAATGATTTCATCAATAATATTGAAGCGAAATTGAAGCGAAAAATATTAAAATTAAAAACAAAAAAAAAAAAAGAACCCAAAACATGTGAATTTTTTTCGAATCAATGACAAAAAAAATAAAATTTTTTTTAAATGAAAAATTAAAAAAAAAAAAACTTAGTATTGTACGGTTCAGAGCGGGAAAATTGTTTTTCCAGCAGATTCCCCCAGACGCCACGAGCGTTACCCAAACACTTGGAACCAATTGAGGGCACCATGAAAATGCTTCCAATACGCGGGTAACTTTGAAACTAAATTTTGCAACTTCCTCAAAACCCTTTACTGTGATATCAAATTTTTTTTTTAATGTCGTCAGAAGAAAGTAAAAAAATAATAATTTAAAAATTGCTTAATCAAAAAAAAAAATTAATAATAATAATAATTATGAAGTCCAATGTACAGTAAAGGGTTGTATAGCTTTTTATTTTTCTTCTGCATATATTAACTGATTTAAGTTTTCTATTATAGCCTTATTGCAAAATTAAAAATATTCATAAAATATTGCAAAAATTTTTTTTCAAAATTAATTTAATTTTTATTCTAAAAAATTGCATTTTACTATTTAATATTAATTTTTTTTAATACTAAAATTTAAAAAAATAAAAAAAATGAAAATTTACTAAAAAATAAAGTATTCATTTTTACTCCCATAATATTTTATAATAATAATAATAATAATAATAATAATAATAAAAGGGCATTAACATAAAAATCTATATTTAAAATTAAACATTGCAATTAATATTAAAAAAAATTTTTTTAAGTAAATTAAAAATTAATAAACTAAGAAATGAGACAAAAAAATGGTTATGTAAGAAATTTGTAAATAAGAAAAATTCTTAAAAATAAAAAAAAATGAGAATAATGAAATAGAAATACATAAAATAATTATAATAAATAAACGAATGACAATAATAATAATCTGTAGGCAGAATTCCCAAAATAATAATAATAATAATTAATAATAATCATAATAATATTAATAATAATAATAAATACATAAAATAATTATAATAAATATAAAAAAACTATAGAAACAAAAATAAAGTAAAACGGCGAATAAAATAAAAAATAAAAATTAGAAAAAATATGAAAAAAGTAAATTTAAAAAATAATTTAACAACAATATTAAAAAAAAATGAAAATCAATATAAGAAAACTAAAAAAATTCTAATAAAATTAATTAAAAAAACAATAAAAACACAAAATTCATCTTTAAATTATAACAAAATGGCACAGTTTCTAATCGCGATCTAAGTGTTACATAAACCCTTTTCTCTTATCGCGATAAATATAAAAGTCTAGGAATCAAGAGGGTGTTCCAGAAAAAAAGTAGGACTTTTGAAAAATATAGAATACTCAGAATCGATCGCCCTTCTACAAAAAAAAATAGAAATAAACATTTACTATTTTAATAATAATAAATTATTAATTTTCGAATTTTTTTCAAAATCAATAATAATTATTTCATTTATTTAAAAAAAAATTAAAATACTTCAAATTTTAAAAAAATATATTCATATAAATTAGCTATAAAAATGATTAAAAGAAACATTTTTTATCTTCCTTTTCCCCATATTTTTCTAATAAACAAAAAGTGTTAATAAACAAAATTTCAATTCATTTTTTTCGCTTCTATTCTATTATATAATAATATACATAATTACGAAAAAATTCAAAATCTAATAAAAAATTTCTTTTTTTGATTTTTTAATATCAGTTTAAAAAATTATTTATTGGATTTTGTATTTTTTTTTTTTTTTTTTTGAAATATTGTACATATATTGAACACGGTGTGAAACTATTATAGCAATTTAGACTTTTTTTATATCACGAAAGCTTTTGAAAAAAATCTATTAATTACTTAATTAATTAATAAGTAAATAAATTAATAATTAAATTATTAGTAATTATTAGATTCAAATTTTATCGATAATAATTTTTAATTGTAAAAAAAAATTTATTTCAGTGATCATTCTGTTCCTTTTGGGAACATTATGTTCGATCGACGAGTGGCGCGTGGTAGTAATTTCGCTTCCGCCCCTGGTGACGTAAGTTTGCTTTTAAATCATTTTTAAAAATTTTATATTAACAAATTAAAAATTAATTAACATTACTGTTTTTTTGTAAAATTTAATTATTCTTTATTATTATCAAATAAATATATTTATTTGTATCAAATAAAAATTATTTGGTTCAAGTAAATATTTATTTGATAATAGTTAAGTAACCGATTATTTGAATAAAAAAAAAAATTTTTTCAGTGCATTTCTTTAAATTAATAATAATATATTATTATCAATAAATTATATTTAAAGATTTAAAAATTTTTAATTTATAACATTTTTAATCATTAAAATTTTTTAATATATTTAGTTTATAATAATTAACTTAAATAGTCCCAAAGTAGCGTTGCATTGTTGTTACGAGTTAATCTTTAATGTGAAATAGTAAAATCTGCGCTCGCCGCTTTTGAAAAATGGGAGTCGAGCCTCATCCTCGTACGCTTCCCCCACTTCACGTAAGCTGCGTGCGCAACGCTTTTGACTCAAGCGTCGAGTGGTGACGAATATTTTCCCTGTTCCCTCATATATATATTTTTCCCCCAATTATTCATTATCTAGTATGAAACACTTGCTTTTAGCCACTTAATCCAGTACGACGCACTAATCACATTCAACGAATTTCTTCTTCATTTAATATGAAAATCTGAAAAAGAAAATTATTATTATTAGTTGTATCAAACTTAGAAAATTACTAAGAATATGTCAAACTAATATATTAAAATATAAAAAATATTCAAATGCATTCAATTAATTTTAGCTTGAAAAAATACTCGGGTCTACTGGACCCATAGTGCGAGTTAAGGATTGAAAAATAATTAATTAATATTTTTAACTAAATTAATAAATAATTAATTTCTTTGAACTTAATATAAAAAATTTTCAGTCATTATTTTTAAAAGTAAAAAATTTTCATCCCTTTTTTTAGCTTGATGGCGAATCGCAAGCGATGAGACACGCGGAAACAAGAAAACGTGAAATGGCAAGAAGAAAAGTACGTTCACAGGCGTCAAAAGCAATGTTAATGCGAATTGGTTCACCGCCTCCTGTACCGGGTAGAAAACACGAACCAGTACAAACCGATCACTATCTCGAAGAAGTAATAATAATTATTATTTCATAAACCTAGAAATTTTATTTATTATTTTTATTATTATCGACATTTAGCAGAGACTCGAACCAAAAAAAAAATTGTCGGTTAATTTTTTTTCTAATTTTCATTTTTTTTTTTAGCTTTTTGAAAAACCCGATGAACTTGAGGCAGGGACACAAACGGATCATTTTGTCGATCGACCGGCAACACCTCTTTTTTGTCCGAAAAAAATTGGACAAGACGCTAGCACGCAAATTGAAGCCGGTGAAGTGAGTTCTATTTAAATGCTATTATTCATATATATCACATTTAATATCTACTTCATTTAATTGCCACTTTGCAAATAAATATAATTATGTTGTTTTACCCCACTTTAGTTATATTTTGCCCCAACTTTATTTCATATCATACTAGTTTGATGAAATCATTATTTTAAAAAAATGAAATCAGTTTTTATTGTTCAAAATAAACGGGGTAATATTGTACATAGCATATTAATGTAGGGTAACATGGTACAAATAGTATTTACATGGGGCAAATTTACACGATCTTTTTAAAAATAAAACAATGTAAAGTAAAATAGCACAAATATTCATACACATGGGGTAATATGACACATTTTATCCTGCTTCAGATATATTTTACCCCAATCTTGTTTCAATTCTAATACTAGTTTGATAAAATCATTATTTTAAAAAATGAAATCACTTTTTACTGTTCTAAATAAACGGGGTAATATCGTACATAGAATATTAATATGAGGTAAAATGGTACAAATAATACCATAGGGAGTAATTTTTAAATGATCGTTTTAAAGGTAAAACAATATGTAAACTAAAATGACACAATAATTAATGCATATAGGGTAATATGACACAGGCGGGGTAAAGGTATATATAATTAATAAAAATGAATATCATTTTTTTTATATAGCTCTTTGACTACGATATCGAGGTTCAACCAATTCTGGAGGTTCTAGTTGGTAAAACAATTGAGCAGGCATTGTTGGAAGTTTTGGAGGAGGAAGAAATTGCGGCATTAAAAGAACAACAGAGAAGGTTTTCGGAACTTCGCGCCGCTGAAAAAGCCGAGGCACAAAGATTGGAGGAACAAGACAAACGTATACGCGAAGAAAAGGTAATTTTGTGTGAAATGAATTTTTCAATGTGTGCCATTATGCCCCATCTAATTAAAAAATAGTGTTCTAATATCTCTGAAATGGCATATTAGTTACATTTTACCCCTTATACCTCGTACAATAAATCAAAAATGACTTAGGACTTATTACCCCCATAACTATAAATTAATTGTCTAAATATTTGTAACATATTACCCCATAATTAAATTAAATGATGTTTAAATATTTGTGACATAGTACCCCATAACAAAAATTAAATGGTGTCTAAATATTTGTGACACTACTCGCACATTAGTGACATTTTACCCCGCTAAATTATAGAAAGGACGTTTAAATGTTTGTCATACTTATTGCTTCTATATAGCTAATTTAAATTGTTTAATAATGTTTCTAACTTATTATAAACTGGTGACATTTTACCCCATTTAATAAAAAAAAAACATCTAAATTTTTTTGATATATTACCCAACTTTAGTGGCATTTTGCCCCTTCTGTCTTAAATATCATTCAATTTGATTAAAATATTAAAGAAATCTGACTTTTTTACAGTTTTATGTAAGTGGGGTAATATGGTACAAGGGGGAAAAAATATTGTCAAAAGGTAATTTTAATTAGAATGAGAAAAATATAAAAAATCGGAGTTTAAATAACAAAAACAGGACACGATTTTAATTTCAAGTGGGGTAATATTACACATATGAAAGGAGTAATATTATATATAAGGAAGGGGTAAAATACCAGTAAGGTGAGATAAAATATAACAAAATGTAGAAAGAAATTAAACAATATAGAACGAAAATAGCTAATGTGGGGTAAAATGGTACAAACATTACGACACAATTTCAATTATGTCTCTGGGGTAAAATGACACAAATCGTATGATACTACTTTAATATTCGGGGAGGGTAATATTACACAAAGAATAAAATACAATACAAATAAAGTGTAAAGTTATAAAAAATAGTATACAATTTTATATAGATGGGGTAAAATGGCACAAACAAGCTTTGTATGAATTATGTCAGATTATATGATTCAGGTGGGGTAATATGCGATAAAATGGCATAAGGCAACGTTTAACACACATATGGGGTAATTTGAGACATACGGGGTAAAATGGATCAAATATTATATAACACAAAAAAATTACTATTTAAAAAAAAAGAAAGAAAATGTTAAATTATGAAAATAAAATTTGAAAATTATTTTTTTAGGATCGTCGTGTGAAAGAACACGAGGATGCATTGAAAGTGCAACAAGAAACTGAGGATAGAGTTGCAGCTTCGGTTTTGCTCACTGGATATATAGCGGAATTACTTCCGGCAGTTCTTGAAGGTCTAAAAATGTCCGGAGTTCTTTTAGACGAAATTAAGGCTGGTGAGTTTTAAAAATAAAAATTTTTTATGGAAAAGACATTTTTTTATTATTTAAATTAGGTAATTTTATTTATTGGAATAATTTTTAATTTTACTTTTCAGATGTGGAGGAAGGTTTTATGCCGTGGTTAATGAAAGAAGTCAAACAGGAAGTTGGTTCAATGATCGAAAGCAGGGAATTATTAGTCGGTAGGCTTTTTAATATTATTATTATTATTATTATTATTATTATTAATTTTTTTTTATAAATATTATTATAATGTTACTGTTATTTTGATTCCCATTCACGAATTGACTGCAAAGAAGTCCAATTAAAATCATATTTTGTATATCCTGATTTCTGCCTCCTCCCTCTCGGAGCTTAGCTATTTTGACCTACAGGGTTGAATTTTGGCACAAAAGTAAATTTTTATTTGTAAATTAAAGGAAAAATATAGTGAAGATGATCAAAGACGAATTTAATATTTTTAATAGTGAAATAGAAAGTTTTCAAAAATCTCATAACCCTCCCCCCCCTCTCTCTAATTCTCATCTAGAATCCTTAAATTTTAATTTAAAAATGCTTATATTTTCTATATTGATGTATTTTAATTAGTAAACTACAAACAAATTGAAGAGAGTCTGATTATAATGACTTTATTAACGAAATATTTTAAAAATTACAAAAAAGGTGGCGCCCTTAAAATAATTTTAGTTTTTGATCTAAAAAGTTCAAATTTAACGTACTGGTATATTTTTACTTTTACAAATAGATTACAGGAAAAATATAGCGAACCCAAGCCTTTTATTAAGTTTATTAGCTCTAGATTTAATTATTCAAAATAGCTCAGAAATTCACCCATACGAAAAGGGGGAAAATGATAATTATCGCATATGTGTACTTCTTAAAAAGAGGTTTAATGATTAATTTATTACTAAATTAATCTATATTTGTTATTTTCATTTTACCTTCAAATGCATTGGATTTTATTAATTATAGTAGCTCAGAAATTCACCCAAGAAAAGGGGGCTAACGATCATTTTTTACCACAAAGTTAAAATTTACCAAAAAAAAAAAGTTGCTCCTTCTTTTAATTTTACAGTTTGTTACCTAAATAGTTAAAATTTTACATTCTGATATATTTTTTTTGTAAAAATTGTATAAAAATTTAATTAATAAAAAATTAAAATTTATTTTAATACCGTCATCAATCGAAATCGCAAAATTTACAAAAAAAAAATGCTCCCTTTCTTAAATTCGATAGTTTTTTATTTAAAATTTTGAAATTTGGTGAAATAGTGTATTTTTACGTGTAGATTACAGAAAAAATTTAGCCCAGCAAATTTGAACTAATTTCAATAGCTTTATTAATAAAAAATAAAAAATTTTACGTTATAAATTATATCCTTTTCGCTTTTGAATTTAACAGTTTTTAATCTAAAAAATTTAAACTTGGCAAACTGATGTATTTTTATCTGTAGATTATAGGAAAAATATATTGAAACGAATTCGAATTATTTTATTTTTATTAATAAAAATGTCAAAATTTAACGTAAAAAATGACCAATTTCCCTTTAAATTTTACAGTTATTAATCTAAAAATTTGAAATTTGATAAAGTGGTGTATTTTTACGTGTAAATTACTAAAAAAAATATTTCAAATATGATTTGAATTAATTTTAATAGTTTTATTAATTGAAAAGTAAAAATTTTATCTTAAAAAAATATTCTCTTCGCTATCAATTTAACAATTTTTGATCTAAATATTTGTAACTTGGTAAACTAGTTTATTTTTTTGTGTAGGTTATAATAAAAATATTTCTAAATTGATTCAAATTAATTTAAATAGCCTTATTAATGGAAAGTCAAAAATTTAAGTAAAAAAATGACTCTCTTCGCTTTAAATTTTACAATTTTTGTCCTAAAAAGTTAAAACTTTGCAATCTGGTGTATTTTTATGTGTATAGATTACAGGAAAAATATAGCGAATCTTATTCGAATTAATTTTTACAGGTTTATTAATGAAAACTCAAAATTTTATAAAATATCGTTATAATTTTAATAGTTTTTGATCTAAAAAGTTAAAACTTTGCAATCTGGTGTATTTTTATGTGTAAATTACAAGAAAAATATAGCAAATCTTATTTGAATTAATTTTCACAGATTTATTAATGAAAAAGTCAAAATTTTACGTAAATAAATGACTCCCTTTGCTTTAAATTTTACAATTTTTGTCCTAAAAAGTTAAAACTTATCAAACTCGTGTATTTTTACATTTAGATTACAGGAAAAATGTAGTGAATCTTATTCGAATTAATTTTCATAGGTTTATTAATGAAAAACTCAAAATTTTATGAAATAAATGACCTCTTTTGGTATTATTTTAATACTTTTTGATCTAAAAATTTTAAACTTGGTAAACTGATGTATTTTTACGTGTAAATTACAGCAAAAATATTCCGCATCATATTCGAATTAATTTCAATAGCTTTATTAATGAAAAAGTCAAACATTTACCTAAAAACTGACCCCCTTCGTTTTAAATTTTACAGTTTTTTTCCTCAAAAGTTAAAACTTGACAAACTGTTGTATTTATACGTACAGATTACAAGAAAAATATTGCGAGTCATATTCGAATTAATTTTCATAGCTTTATTAATGAAAAATTCAAAATTCACTTGAAAAAGTGACTTTTTTCTCCTTTAATTTTTACAATTTTTTTTTTTTTTGACCTAAGTTTAAAATTTGTTCCCTTTTATAATTTTAAAGCTTATAAAAATTTAATCCCCATTTTCATTTTGTAACTATATACACTGATGAAAAAAAGAGAAGAAAAAAAAAATTCTTTTTTCAAAACTAATTGCTATATTTCCTTAAATATCGTTGACAACCATCGACTTTTAAATCTAAAACCTGCCCTCAGGTAAAAGTTGTCGCGACATACTCAAATCTTTCCAAGATCAAAATGTCTGCGTCTTTTCAAAGTTCACAGCAAAACTTTTTCAAAAGCTTATTACTTGTTCTGTGAGTGTGCGTATATATATACCATAAATAATATTAATCAATCCATCAAAGAAAGGTTGGACACGTTCTCGCATTAGGAAAGTAAAATTTTGACATTTAGTTTAATTTTTACCTATTGCTTATTAGTGTTGTAGTGAAACACCATTTTCTCGCAGGTTTTCGCACCTGCAATTATCGTCTAACGGAAAGAAGACCGTCATTACGTCTCTTATTATAATTTTGTAAACAAACGAAAAATCGTTCACATTTTAAATGTTGAAATTAGAAAAATAAAAAAATTCTTGAAAAATATTATTAAAAGAAATATATTTTTTTTTATTTATTTAAGAAAATTATTTTCAATAAATAAATTCAATTATTCAGTGACACGACTAGCGTCAATGTTACGATTTTTTATTCATTATGTAAAACTTGATTTTGAATTTGTTATTTAATGAATGTTAAGTTATTTAATTAAATTAATGATAATTAATTAAAAATTCCAAATATTAGTAAAATTAACAATTCTAAATGATAATTACAAAATTATTTATTAAATTATTATTAAATTATTATTGAATTATTATTTAATTAGCAAATTATTTATTAAATTACTGTCTTATTAATCTAATTTAATTATTAAATTATTGGTAACTAATAAAAAATTCAAAAAAGGATAAAATAACGATTATTCTAAATAATTGACAAATTATTTAATTAAATTATTAAATTATTTGCTTAAATTATTCAATTATTCAATTAAATTTATTAAATTATTGATAATTAATAAAAAATTTGCAAAGTTTGGAAAAATAACGATTGTTAGTAATTACCAAGTTTATTTATTTATTTATTTATTTATTTACGGGACTTCAAAATTAAAGTACCCTTTGAATAATTTATTAAATTGTTATTTATTAAATTATTTTTTAAATTATTAAATTCTTTAAATAAATAAATGAAAATATTAAATTAGATAATAGAATTACTGAATTAAATTAATTAAATTATTGGTAATTAATTTGTAATTAATAAAAAAATTCGCAAGACTGAAAAAATAACGTTTCTAAATATTTTTGATATATTATTTATGTAATTATTTCATTAAATTATGAAAATTATTTAGAAATAAATTAATTAAATTATTTGATATTTTATTAAATTATTGAATTATTCAATTATTCAATTAAATTTATTTAATTATTGGTAATTAATCCAAAATTTGAAAAAATTACGATTGTAAATAATAATCAAGTTTTTTTTAAATTATTAAAATCTTTAAATAAATTAATTAAATTATTTGATTAAATTATAGAGTTAGATACCTATTTAGGTAATTAAATTCTTTAAAGAAATTGAATTAATTATTCGATTAAATTACAAAATTTTTTAATTAAATTATTAGTTAATTAATAAAAAATTCGCAAACTTTGAAAAAATAAAGATTGTAAAAAATTAACAAATTAGTTTTTAAATTATTATTCAATTACTATAATTAGTTATTTAATGTAATTATTAAATTACTTAATTAAATTAATTAAATTATTGGTAATTAATTAGTAAGTAATCAAAAATTCGCAAAATTGAAAAAAATAACCTTCTTTAAATAATTACTAAATTATTTATTAAATTATTTGATTATTTACTATATAAATTTATTAAATTATTATCAATTAATTTGATAATTTATCAAAATTTGCAAAGTTTGGAAAAATAACGATCCTAAATAATTACCCTCCACTTTATTGATTGAATTAATATTCAATTTAATTAATAATTGAATTTATTTAAATTAATTAATTTATTTAATTTAAAAAATTATCTTATTTATAAGAATTTTTTAAAAATATTTTTTAACGAAATATAGTGTAAAAATAAAGAAATTCTTTTTCTTTCCAGAAATTATTAAGGAGATTTTGGAAAATCGGGCAGAAACTTATAGGCGACTTGGGGAAGAATATGATGCTGCGAGGGAAGCAAGAAAATTAATTATTGAAAATGATGAAAATCAGGAAAATATTTCTAGTAATCATTCGCAAGAATCCGTTACCACAAATTCGGATGGAAATTAGCAAAAAGGTAAAAAAAAGATTAAAAAAATAAATTTTAATTTATTGATTAATTTAATTTCAATTTATTTAATTTATATATGTATTTAATTAATTTTGTTTAAATTAATTAATTAATTTTATTTTAATTACGAATTTAATTTTTATTCGTCCAAAAAAAATGGTAAAAGTGAATATTAGAAAATGTTAATTAAAGTCTTATTCGAATGAGAATATAATAAATAAAAATTAAAAATAAAATAAATATAAAAAGCTATTTAGAACGGGAAAATCGGATTAAAATCTAATTGTGCGCAATGATCTTGGCACTCTTTCTTTCTCTCTTTCTTTTTTTTTACTCTTTTTGATCCGATACAAGGTTTTAAACGAGAGGATAGTTAGCATTGGATTAGGGACACCTTAACCAGCAAATGAAATAACCCCCAGTTAAACATTTCCTACATTTAAGCAGTGTACACAGCTGCACGACAAATCCATCCAGTTCAATCTCTCTCTCTCTCTCTTGATGTACAAACAAAATATCCCTAAAGGGTCACCAATCGAAAATTAATTATATCGATCTCTTGTCTCTTTATAAAATTAATTTTTTTTTTACTTTTTTTTTTCTTTGCAAACTTATTTGTGAAAAAAATTTTTTTTAAGTAATTTACAGCACAAATGAATTGAGTAAAAGTTTTGAAATTTTAATTTAACAATAAATAAAAAAAATAAATTTCCTTTAAAAACTTATTAAAATATTATAATGGTTATTTATTATTATTATTTATTTATTTAAAGTTAATTTATTTACAAAAAGTTGACTTTTGAAAAAAAAGTAGGAATTTTCTTTACAGAATCGTTTATTAGTATTTATCACTTATTTATTGTTAATTATCCAAAATTGTATCGTCAATGAATTGAAAAATATATAAAAAAATATTATATCGAACTTAGCCACGTGGCTAACTTTCTCTACTGTCGAGAGTAGCTTCTTGGGTTCGATTCTTCATGAGTGCAATCATTTTTTTTTTCTTAAAAAAAAACTTTTTATATTTTATCTACTTGCAATATAAATAAATATATTTACAATATAAATAAATATATTTTCAAAATATATAAATAAATGTATTTACAAATATAATAAAAATGAAAATATTTATGATTATAATTATCACTTTATATTTAAAAAAAGAAATTTCTTTTTCAGATTCAATTGCGTAAGAACATTAACTGGATTGTGATTTAAATAATAATCACAAACTAATTTACGTCCACTCTATACTATATATAAAATCTAAATGATCATCGAAAAAAAAAATTAAAACGACTGTGTGCAATAAATTTCTTGTTGAAAAAAAGGCTGTTTTTAATTTGTTGATTTTGAAAATGTGTTTGTTTCATGCAGTGAATAAAGAATTAAGAATTTTAACATTTTTTTTTCATTTTCCCCTTCTTTTTTTTTAGATAAGACTGAAAAAATGAACTAAAAAGAAATAAATGTCTTTTTTTACGGCACCTCTATTAAAAAAAGGTTTACTCCTTGCAAAAGTTTTTTTTTCCCCAACTTAATATAATATGTAATTTGTAAAAATGTGGAAAAAAAGGGAATTAGTCATCTTTATGTGAATTCCGTTTTTGACAATATATTAAATTGTATATAATTATAACCGACATAATCAAAAAACGATAATAATTTTCAATTATAAGTAAATTACTTTTTTTTGTGTCATTTGAAGAAAATTTCACAAAATCTTCTTTATAATATCTCTTTATCGCTTAAATCATTTTTTAAACATTCTTTTAACGATAAAATCAGAAAGTTTGGTATCTTATTATGGTTGCAATTATTTAACATATAATATACCTAATATATAGCAGTGTTTTATTTATTTTTATTTCAAATATAACCGTGAATTTTAAACGTTTTTTAAAATCTTTCTTTAGTAAATGATTTTCACTTTTTTTTCTCTTTCAAAAAAAACTAATATAATTTTCTATTTATTCGGTGGCAAATCATATTTTGCCGTCAATACTTTAAGGAAAAATGTTGGATTTCTGAATTTTTAAACAGATGAAAAATTTTACCATTTTTTGAAATTCTGTAGTTTTTTTTTGTTAATTTTTAGTTTGGGAAAAAGTGCGAAAAAAATGGCTAAAAATATTTTTAAAAAACAAAAAAAAATAAAAAACACTTAAAATATCAAAAAATTTTGGAAATTTTAAAGTTATGTAGTTTTTTTTTTAATTTCGAGTTCGGGAAAAATTTTTAAACCATTTTATTTTGCTCACTTTTATGAATGGCAAAAAATACTAATCCCAACATTTGGAATTCTAAATTTTTGAATTTTTTTTTATTTTGAGTTCAGGTAACAAATTTTGCAACAATTTTTTGTCCGTGGATTACTAATAATACTCTTTTTAAAACTCCAAGAATTCTACATTTTCAAAAAATTTAAAATTTAAAATAACGGTAAGATATGAAAGAACAAAATTGTTATCAAAAATTTCAGAATTCTAAATTTTGAAAAAGTAAATTTTTTTTGAATTTTCAATGTTTTGTTTTTTTTTATATTTTGAATTCAGGGAAAAAGTTTATAACAATTTATTCTCCGTAAAGAGATATCAAAAATTCTTATAAAAACTCCAGGAATTCTAAAAAAAAATTGTAAATTCATATTTAAAAATAACTGAAAGGTATATTTTGTAATAACAAAATTTTTAACGAAATTCCCGGAATTCTAATTTTTTAAAAATTAAAAGAAAAATCAAATTTCTAGTTCAAGTTTAAAAATAATGGTAAGATAATTTAAAATTCTCTGTATTTTGAAAAAATTAATTTCTTTTTGAAATTTTTAAAGTTCTGTCGTTTTTTCTTTTTAATAAAAAATTTCATAACAATTTTTTTCCGTGGAGGGCCAATAAAATTCTTAGAAAAACTTCTGGAATTTTAAATTTTGAAAAGGTCAAATAAAATTTAAAAATTATATTTCATAATAACGGTAAAATATTTTAAAAAAGTAAAATTTTTTAGAATTTTTAAAGTTTTGTAATTTTTTTTTTTGTCTATTTTGAGTTTAAGTATAAAATTTCATACTATCAAAACTCCCAAAAATTTAAATTTTGAAAAAGTCAAAAAAAAATTTCAAATTTCAAACTTTTGCAGTTATGAAAATTCAAAAAAAAATTCATTCCCAAAAAATAGGGCAACTTTTTAAAAATTTTTGCTTCCTCTATAAAAATTGTTTTTTTTTTCAAAAAAGTACAAAAAAACTAAAATCAAAAAAAAAATTCCCAGAACTCTAAATCCGAAGATAAAAAAATTTAATTTTTTCAAAATGACAGAGGCATAATATGTATCATTAAGTTAAAAAAAATCGCTTTAAACTAAATGTAACTGACGATAGGAAAATCGGTAAAAAAAAGAAAAAAAAATCCCGCAATTATCTCAACGCACCGATCTTTTTTTCATTCTCCCTCTCTCTCTCTTCGTTTATTAGATTACCTTAAGAGAACCTGTGGAAAACCTGCGATTAGAAACGGACAGGTGCAAAAATTTTTCACGACGAACGTGCCACAAATGAAAAAGTAATGGCAAGAGATTTAATCAAGCACTAGAATAATAGTGTATGGTTATATATTTTTACCTTTTCTTTAAAATTTTGTCTCAAAATTCCAAGAGAATATATATATATTTATAAATATAAAACTGAATTTTCTTCCAAAAACCAAAACAACATTGGTTCGTACAATATATTTTGGAAAGGGTCCACAAAAGTATAGCGAAATTCATGAAAAAGAAATACAATTTGAGGGTATAATAAAATGATCATTAAGGTGGCGACGCCACCACCCTCGGTGCAATCAGCCACGTCTCGTCATGATGTCCACAGGGAAGCAAGAGAGAAAATTGAAAGAAACAATTGAAGGACAAAATCTTATATGTCATTTTGCGCGACGACAAGTTTTCATAATCTTGATTGTCACTGGTACTCGCAGCGGGTTCACTGGTGTTAAAAGAAAGAGAAAGAGAGAGTGTCCCAAAATTTCTAATGCTCTTACCTAGAATTTAAATTAGTTAACAATGTTGTATTCTATAATCTCGAATCCCCTCTCCCCCCTAAATATTGCAAGCAAAAGAAATTTCTTTTTTTATTGCTATAAATCGAAAACTAAAAAATAAAACTTATTTCTTTTTCTTACAAAATTTTCTAAAAAAAAAAATACATTTTTTATATTATTACTGTACGGTAATAAATAAATTTAAAAGAAAAAACAGTAAACTGTAGTTTGATAATATTCTTCAAATTTTGTTAAAAATGCCCAAATAGTTAATTGCCCTAATTTCTAATTTTAAAATTATTCATATTTCCTTATTATTATGATTATTATTTATTAATAATGTAAAAAGAAAGTACTAAAACAGAACCGATTTTAGGTATCAAAATAGAACCAAATGACAATTTCGTACCTAAAGTCGGTATTAAATTAATACCTTTCTTTTTACAGTGATTATAACATAGTTAATTATTAATTAATAAATAAATTTATTATGATATAATGATATAATTATTTAGTAATTAATTTATTAATAAATAATTATTAATTACTAATTTTTATAATAATTTTTTTATAATAGTTACTAATTGTTTTAACCCTTATGTTATTTTAGGAAGAATTTAATCCTGTCGGAAGAATAGAAGTTATAACTAACCAAAATCATTAGAAAGGTGTAAATACTTCCTTATATTAAAAATTTTAAAATCAAAAACAAAATTTGTTTTAAAAAAAAAGTTAAAAGTTTCCCTGTTTCCTCATATTATATATTTTCCCCAATTATTCATTATCTAGTATGAAACACTTGCTTTTAGCCACTTAATCCAATACGACGCACTAATCACATTCAACAAATTTCTTCTTCATTTAATATGAAAATCTGAAAAAGAAAATTATTATTATTAGTTGTATCAAACTTAGAAAATTACTAAGAATATGTCAAACTAATATATTAAAATATAAATAATATTCAATTGAGCGAGAAAAAATACTCGGGTCTACTAGACCCATGGTCCCATTTAAGGGTTAACGTAATTTTTATTTGATCTGTTTTTTATTTAACCAAATTCTTATTTGGCCTAATTTTTAATTAACCGAATTTTTATTTAGCCTATTTTTTAATTAACCTAATTCTTATTTGGCCTTATATTTATTTAACATAATTTTTATTTAACCTAATTCTTATTCAGCCTTATATTAATTGAACTAATTCTTATTCCGCACAATAATTGTATATCTAATTCTCTTTTAATTACCTAATCTTTCTGTAAAGTAATTCTTATTTAGTAATCTTAATTTGTCATAATCGTTATCCGCCTTAATTTTTTAAAGACCCTAATCCCTACTTATTGTTAGCCTTTATAATCTCTACGTAATCGATTTTCTTTTTTTTGCCTAATCTTTACTTAACCTAATTCTTATTTGGTCTAATATTTACCTTATCTAATTATTTCGCCTAATTATTATTTATCTTCTTTGTTATTTGGCCTAATATTTAACTCATTTTATCATTTGGCCTAATCCTTATATTTAACTTATTTTTTATTTCGCATAATATTTATTCAACCTACTTCCGAAATTTGGCATAATATTTGCTTAATGTGATTCTTATTTGGCCTAATTACTAAGTGTAATTCCTACTTGGCCTAATATTTATTTAACCTATTTCTTATTTAGCCTAATTTTTTGCTTAACATAATTCTTATTTGGGCTAATTTTTACTTAAACTAATATTTATTTAGCGTGATTTTTACTAAATTTAATTCTTATTTGGCCTGATTTCATACTTCATCTAATTTTTATTTAGCCTGATTTTAATTGAATCTAATTCTTCTTTGAACGAATTTTTACATAACCAAATTCTTATTTAACCTAATTTTTTACTCAACCTACTTTTTACTTAACCTACTTTTTATTTAACCTAATTCTCATTTGGCCGAATTTTTACATAACCTAATTTTTATTTCCCTAATTTTTCTCTTAACCTAATTTATATTTCTTAATATTCAGTTGACTAAATTATTATTTGGCCATATATTTATTTAGCCTAAATCCTATTCGGCATAATAATTATCTAATTTTTTTCTCAGTGTGACATAATTTACTATTTTTGACACATTTCTTAAGTGGCAAAATTTTTATCCAGTCTATAACTATTATGTTAAATGAAAATAAAATTACATAAAAATTAGGCCTGATAAAAATTAGATTTTATAATAATTAGGTTAAATAAATATTAGACCACAAATACAAAATTTTTTCATATAAATATTAGTGTAAATAAGAAAAATTTGATCAAAGTTAACATTATAGGATAAATAAGAATTAAAACCATCTCTCAAAATAATGACGGGTTGTCAAGATTTAGGGGTTTCA